GCTCCAAGCTTTCATGATTTTTTTTTTTTTTTTTTTGCTTCACTGTATATAAAAGAGAAAGAAGCCACATTGCTTTATGGTAGCTCGCTTTTGATAAACTGTTCTTATAGCCTTCTAGATGTGCATTTTAAATCTACCTGAAAGGTGCATTTTGTAGCACACACTATGCAGTTATCTTAATGAATCTTCTAATGAATCATCATTGTTAAAATGAATTTTTCTTTGTGGTCTGGCAGTCCAAGAAGAGCAGCTAGTCCATGCCATAATTGGAACAGAGGTAATGCAGACAGCATCCGGCAGTAACCCACACTAACTTGCAGTGTCTCAGACAACTTCCTGCCCCACCAGTGAGCTGGAAGCACTTAATCAGCCACCCTTCCTCACCGACCTCAGTGGGCGGGACCCCTGAAACTGTTACTGTGTGAAGATCTCATCTTCCCTCCCCACTCCATTCCCCAGGGAAATGGTTTTGAACGCAAATAATGATCGCAGAGGGAAAATACTTTTCCCGTCCCACTGCATTCTGTCCGAATACATACTGAAACAGTAGAGCGTTTTGGCACAAAGGGCCTTATTGACAATTCATTGGTTCCCACATCATTCTGTCAGCGTGGTTCCTTACAATTTGTTTGTAACAGAAGTCTGTTTTTTTTCTCTGGGAGTCTCAGTAGCGTGGGAGCTGGTTTTCTATTTGTCTTCCCCGTAGCCTCCCTGCCTCTTCACCTGGACTCACTATAGAGTCCATGAAGCCCACAGGAGTGGCGCGGAGCACCTGGGCTGTGCAGCTCATCCCTGTCACCAGGGCGGCAGAACAGCGAAACCTTTAAATGGATGAGCGGCCTGTGGTCACTCAGGAACCATATGGCTTCAGATTACCTCATCTCCCTGTGCTCTGGTACTCCAGCCACCTAGATGCAGGAAGTAAGCTGCACATAGATGTATGTAACTTTGCGGGCAGTGGAATATTGTCCAGCAGGCAAAAGAAATGAGCTGGCAACCCTGAAAGACATGGAGGAACATCAGGTGTGTGTGTCCAAGTGCAAGAAGGCCATCTAAGATTACAGCTACAGGGCCTTCTGGAAAAGGCGAAAGCATGGCGGCAGTAAGAGATCTCTGTTCTCCAGGGTTATGGGAGAGCCAGGGATGAATAGCAGGACCTGGGATTTGAGGGCCATGGAACTGTTCTGCACAAAACTGTACTAATGGATTCATGGCGTTGGGTTTTGTCCAAACCTATACACTGCACAGCACCAAGAGAGAATCTGATGTAACTATGGACTCAGAGCCAGTGGTGACCAAGGCAGGTACATTGGTCGTCATGAATACACCTCTCCGCTGCAGGGTGTGGATTGTGCTGAGGCCAGGGTGGCGTGGGTGGAGGATGTGTGGGAAATCTTTGTGCTTTCTGCTCAGTTTTGCTGTGAACTGAAAACTGCTCTGAAAAATAACATATTAAACAGACGAGGAATGGGCGCTGGACTGGTCCCTCAGGCTGTCATTAACCAGGTCCTACTCTCTAGTTACTTCCTATTATATCAATGCTGAGTTATTTTTTAAAAGAAACTAAATGATATAGAACTAGATTCAAATGCCCAGGATTTAGCTCAGTGGTGCCACCACCTGCCTTGAAAGCACAAAGTCCCGAGTTTGATCCCCTGTACCAAAAAAAAAAAGAAAAGAAAAAGAAAAAAGAAAAGAAAAAAGGAATAGATTCAAATGAAAAAGTATGGGAAATAACAGAGCCCACTTCATACGGCTGCTGTGAAGATTAAGCAAGATGCAGCACCTTGAGCTCTCAGGCATACAGAGAGGAGAAGAATGTTCTAGGCAGAGGTGGCATGGCTGTGTCCCACGAGTCTGGGAAAGCTGTTGTTCTGTGCACCGAGGGAAGCCTGTAGGACCAGGGAATGGTGAGCAGGGAGGACAAGGAAATAAGATGCGACTGGTGCATGTAGCAGGGTCTGTGTCGAGTGGCCCCCACGACTGCTGTGTTGATCCGTTTTCTGTTCTCGTTACAACACGTGCTTGGGCAGCTTTACAGAAGGAGGTTCACTCTGGCTCTGGAGGCCCAGGATCAAGGGGCTGCACCTGGTGATGGTTTTCTGGCTGGCAGGGTCCCAAGGTGGAGCAGGGCACCACGTGACAAGAGAGAGCATACACGTGTGTATGCATGTCTCTCTGCTGCTCTCTTACTGTTTACCTATTTTGGCAGTACTGGGTTTTGAACCCAGTGCCTTCACACTGAGCTACATCTATTTGTCTGTCTGTTTTGAGACAGAGTCTTGCTCAATTACCCAGGCTGGGCTGGAACGTGTGATCCTCCAGCCTCAGCCTTCCAGAGTGCTAAGATTACAGGTGTGCACCACCATGCCTAGCTTCTCCCTCTTAGGAAGCCACCAGGATTCAATCACGGACCCTCCATCCTACTGACTTTGTCAAACCCCAGTCTCGTCCAAGAATCCCACAGTCCGAATTTTTACATTCTTAATGCCCCACAGTGGGGATTAAACTGCAGTGTGATTTTCAGAGGTGCAAACCACCACAGCCAATATGGGGTTTTACTTTGGTGAAGTGTAACGGGCTCCACTGAAGTGTTGTCGGCTGAAGAACGGGGTCGACTCTATTCCCACTCTAAGAGATGACTTCTGCTTTTCCAAGGATGGAGCAAGGTGGAATTGAGTGGACTCACTTGGAAGCTGGATGACAGATGACAGTGGCCTGGACAGTGGTGCTGACAACAGACGATGGGGAGAGGCGGTGGGGTGCACAGTGCGCTGGGAAGGAGGGCCGAGGATAGCTCCGCTCCGGGTTTGGTGCAGCAGCTGCGGAGAGGCTGGGCCAGAGGAAGAGGTTGGGAGATGTCAGTGAGGATGCGGGTGCCTGGGAAGAGGTCTGGGCCGGAGGGCAGAGGCTGGGTGGCCATATGTGGGGCACAGACAGGAAGTGGGGCTGAGAAGCCCCTGTGAAAAGTGTGGCCAAGGAGAGCTCCTCTTGGAGGCTGCCAGGATAATGGAGGGTTTGGAACTTTTAAGACATGCGATGTTAGCGCATATTAGCATGCTGCTGCCTGCAGCTTGCATATAGTGTGAGAGTGACAGTAAAGGAATGCAGTTTGAGGAAGCCTGAAGGGCACTGAGTGGGGAGCATGAGGAGGAAGGACTGCATTACAGTAGGGTGGAGGGAGGTGGAGGTGCAGGAGGAGCTCTGCAGGGAAGGAGCAGGTAAGTTGAGGGGTGGCCCCGTGAGGAAGGCCCCAGGCAGACTGTGAGTGTGGGGGGTACAGATGCAGGAAGCACACGCAGTGCACCGAGTTCAAGAACCTGCAGGGCTCAGCCTGGCTGAAATAGAGGACTGCTAGGGAGGAAGGGGGAGAAGGGGGAGAGGAGGAAAGGGAGGGAGGAGGGCAGGAGGGAGGAGGGACAGAAACGCCAGCCCTTCAGAGTGATGAGTACTTAGTGGTTAGGAGTTAATGAACTCGGCATCCAGGAACCTGACTCCAGACCAGAAACTTGTGTACGGTAAGTACACAAAATCCCCTCAATGTGGTGATTTTACCCTCAGGAGAGAAAAATTTAAAAGGGGGTAAGGGAAAATAGAGAAGTGGAAGAAGAGAAAGGGATCAGAAGCAAAGTTGTAGGACAAAGGAAGATTATGCAGGCTTTGGGAACCGGTGAAGCAAACAGGAGGGAAAGAAAGGAAAAAACAGAAGAACAGAACAAAACAAAACTAGAAACAATGTTCTCATAGAAAAACAAGAACAATCAAGAAAATAGATAAAATATTTTTAAAAATTTAAAACTATAAAAAAGAGAAAAGAAGAAAACCAGAAAAAAATGTCCACTTCAGGGCATGTCTCTGCTGTCACTGGTTGGGAGAAGAGGGTCTGTGCTGATCGATCCCAGCAAGCCAGCAGTAGAATTATGGGAGTGGTGGATAATCCCAGCAAACCTGGGCTTTTACTTCCACTGAAGTTCAGGCTGCTTCTGGTTTCTGGCTGTGAGTTCTTCAGCCCACATCACTCTGAGGGGCTCCTGCCAGTTTGAACTCAGTTGTGCCTCACCCTGACACTTGGAGCCACTAGATGGAGCCAACCCGCAGCTGCTCTGAGTTCTGAGCTCAATTGGTCTCTCTCCAAAATGGCTACCAGTCAATTGCCTTCTCCTGGGGGGCATCTGAACCCGAATAACTCAGCAGCCTCTACAGTACAAAGCATCTACTGCTCCGTTCCACTAGTGGATTTTTCTATGGAGGCTCTGGGGTCCCCAGTAGTCACTGTGTCTCTGCAGGTTCGAGCCGCCCTTCCCACATCACAAGCTGGGGCTCAGGGAGAAAGTGCTGCTGGCTACCTCCCTCTTCTGCATTGTGATCCCTCTCTTTACTCTCCCTGTGGCCTCTAATTTTTGCTTCAGATCCTTGCTGGGTCCTGGGGACCCACTTCCCTCCTCCTTCTCTTCCTTACACGGCTATATTCCAGTGTCTGGATTCAAAAGTTTTAAATTTAAACATTCACTGTCTGTTTTTTGATCACTCATTGATCAAATGTTACGGAATTTCTGTGAAATAAAAACATGATGGTGTGTCTGTATCTGCCTTATTTACTAGATTTGGCACCGCGTGACTTCTGACTCTTCCTCAAAGTCAAAATGACCAGGAAAGGGAAATGTTTTGATCGATTCAAGACATCAAGGCAGCTACAACAGCACAACTAAAGACCCTCAGGAAAGAGGGCTTCAGAGCTGCTTCAAAAAGTGGCAAGAAGGATAGGATAAATGTGTTCAGAGCAAGGGGAGAGGGGTGTTTTGAGGGAGATTCGTGGCAATGTGTCCTTTAATAATTCTTTTTAAAAAGTTTACTCTTGATCATACTGCACATGTGGGAAATTGAATTTTTATAATTTTTATTGTGCTTGTCATATAAGGTTAAAAAGGATCTTCTATATTACAGCTTTCTCACTCTTAAGTAAAAGAAATCACCTTTTTTTTTTTTTTTTTTTTTTACAGATTTTGCATGTGAAACTGTGTGGAAATCCAAAATACCCCCAGTCACACCTCTCCAGCGCTGTGGTGGCCCCTGATGGTAAGCTTTTCTGTCATGCCTGACTTACGCATGGTGCATTTCCGCCCTTCCCGATACCCTGAGAAGACCCTAGTGGATCATCATGGTTCGGTGTGGCACAGGCCGTGACAGAATGTTCCAAGAAGGCAGGGCCCACGTGACTGCAGCAGAATGCAGGCCCCTCGGGCAGCACAGCGCCCAGGCCTTCGGAGAGCTACAGACTCCACGTTAAGCATTCTCTTTAGAATTCTTAAAGTTGTTTTTTAAACTACTTCCATTCCTCTTTTTTGTTTTTCTTAACAGAAGTAACAGTGAATTATCGACATGGCCTTCCCTTGATAACACTCACTTTGCCATCCAGAAAAGAGCGCTGTCGATTCGTAGTCAAACCAATGTTGTCAACAGTTGGCTCCTTCCTTCAGGACCTCCACCACGAAGACAAAGGTGTCAGAGCCGCAGCCATCTTCACAGCAGGTGTGTGTGTGTGTGTGTGTGCGCGCACGCATGTGCTTTACAACTTTGTCCAGAGGCCACTGCTTCTGGACCTTCTGTTTTGATTCCTTTTTCTAAAAAGAATTGCATTCTGCAATTCATTACATAATACCTGGTTGTCCCCTCATGCTACATAACAGTATGATTATAAAATGGCAGCTCTGTTGAATGAAAAAATCAGTTGGATAAGTGGAATATAAGTTTCAGCTCCTTCATAAGCTTGGGAAAGGCATGGTGCTCACTCCTGGAAGGAGCTCAGATTCAGCTGATGGGGACTTGCTGCTGTAACAAGGGTCAGAGGAGAGGACGTCAGCCTGTGGCCACCACGGGCTCGGGCGCATACTTCACTCAGACGCTTGTCCCTCAGGAGAGGAGGCGCTGCTGGCCCCAGACCATCCCTGCGGGGACAGGGCCTGGCTTCCTGGCTCGGAGAGGACAGAGGCACACCCAGAACCCACATGGGCTTGAGATGAGCACTGCCTGCCCCGGGGGCCACTGCTCAGTGCTCACTGAATTAATGAAATGAGAGAGGTAAAAACAACGATTGATGTTGACCTTGCTTTTTTAAAAAACAAAGTAACTTTGAAAACAGAAAGCACAGCTAGGCGTGGCAGTGCACGCCTGTAATCCCAGCACTTGGGAGGCTGAAGCGGGAGGATTGCTCCAAGTTTGAGGCCAGCCTGGGCTACTAGTGAGACTTGTCCCAAAGGAAAACAAACAAGAAAGCACAAAGAAAGAAACTATAGAAAGTAATAGAGATATTTAGAGAAAAGTAGCTTTTTGGACTAGCTAAAAATGCTTTCTTGGCTTAAATGGATCCTTGCCAAAGAATGCATGAGAAATTCTATCATTAGCTCCTTAGAAGTGTGCATGTCAATTTCTGCTGTTCATACATTCATGTAAAGGGCAATGTAGTATCTCACCCAAGAAGCCATATTCAGCTGATTCGTTTTTATTGTAACCTTTGAAGAGGCCGATGTGAAGTCCCGTAAGTGAACCTTTGAGTGCCACTTGGAAATCAGAGACACCCATGGGTGGGTGGGTTGGTGATGTTTGTTAAAGCGACTCTGTGGGTGGAACTTGCCCGTGTGCATCTGGGCTTGAACAGAGTGCCCTGAACTTGTCCCAGTTTTGCTCATTGTGTGGGTTGAATTATTTGGCAGTTTTGGGGAAAATGATCTCACCCCAGCAGATGAACAGGAGCCCAAACAGCCAGACTTCGGGAAGAGACCAGGTGCAGGCTTGACTGGCTCCTCAGGGACAAAGGAAGCACAGAGCTAGACAAGCAGCAGGCGCCCGGCTTCCCCTGAGGCGCACAGCCCACTGTAGCCGACCAACGCCCTGGCCGGGAGAAGACAGACTGCCACGTGACCTCACATGACTTCAGATGGGCGGACTGAAGGAAGAGTGGAAGAGACACCCAGACCCTGCTTTCTGCTTATTGTTCAGTAGATTTGCTTTCTTATCACCAAATCACATTCAAGTTTCATTTAAAAAAAAACAAAAAATAACAAAACTAGGCTATATAAGAAGCTATGCAAAGCACACTGATGTTAAAAAAATTTTTTTGAAACATTCCTAGTGTTCAACCCAAACTCCAGAGACTGAGGGGGTCTCTGAAATAAAAGGATTTATGGAGCAGTTACAGATGCCAGTGAGAAAAAGGAACAGGTTGTGGGACAGGTTCCTACAACCACCAGCAGCAAGGCCATGTAGCAGTTGGAAAAACGTCTGCTGGGCCTGGAGCTGGGAGTATTCTTATATTGAAAATTTGGGCCACTGGGAAGGAAATTAGGAAAACCATCCACTCACACTAGCACTAAGTAAAATTAAACACTTAGGAATTAGCCCAAGGAAGTGAAGGCCTCTGCAATGAAAATTACAGTACACTGCAAAAGGAAACCAAAGAGGACATCAGAAAACAGAAAGATAACCCTCTTCTTGAATAGGCAGATCTAATACAGTCAGAATGGCCACACTTCCAAAATTGATATGCAGATTTAATACAATCCCAATTAAAATCCCAACCACATTCTTCATAGAACTGGAGAAAACAATCCTAAAATTCATATGGAGCCAGAAGAGACCAGAATAGCAAAAGCAATCCTGGGTAACAAGGGCAAAGCAGGAGCATCACTATCCCACACTTGAAGTTGTGTTACAAAGCTGCTGTGATTAAAACCAGCATGGTGTTGGCCCCAAAACAGGCGTGCAGATCAGTGGAACTGGATAGAGGAGGCAGAAACAACCCAAGCACATTCAGCTATCTGATCTTTGACAAAGGGGCCTAAAACATGCACTGGAGGAAAGACGCCCTCTTTAATAAATGGAGCTGAGAAAAGTGGCTCTCCACATGCAGGAGATGGAGTCCAGACCCATATCTCTCACCATGTACGAAACTAAAATAAAAAAGGATCAAAGAACTAATGTTAAAACAAAAACACCAGATCTGCTGGAAGATGAAATAGGTAAAACTCCTGAAGTCAGAGGTGCAGGCAAGGATTTTCTGAATAGAGCCCTGGTTGCACAGGAAATAGTTCTGAGAATCAACAAATGGGATCACAGTGAATTAAAAAGCTTCTGCACAGCAAAAGAAACAACCAGCCAAGTGAAAAAGAAAACCTACAGAATGGGGAAAAATTTTGCCAGCTATTCCTCAGATAAAGGACTCATATCTAGAACTCCAAAAAATTAGAGACCCTAAAATAAAAGACCCAATAAAAAATGGGCAAGTGAAATAAATAGACACGGTACAGAAGAAGTGCAAATGGCTGATAAATACGTGAAGAAATGCTCAACATCGCTGGCCATTAGAGAAACGCAAACTGAAACAACACTGAGATTCTGTCTCACCCCCAGCAGGAAAAGGAGCTCTCTGACATGTTTGCTGGGAATGTAGACTAGTACAACCACTATGGATATGAGTCTGTAGATTCCTCAAAAAACTAAAACTAGAAGTCCCACTTGAACCAGCTATTCCTTTTCTAGGCATCTTCCTGAAAGAGTTGAAGACATCGTGTTACCGGCACCCATGCACACCCACGTTTACAGCAGCATAGCTCATGATAGCACAATCTGGGAAGCACCCTGTATGTCCATCACCAGATGAATGGATTCAGAGAATGTGGTATTTATACATAATGGAGTACTCTTCTGCCATAAAGAAGGTTAAACTTGAGTCATTTGTAGGAAAATGGATACATACTAAGACCATAATGTTAAATGAAATAAATCAGACATGCGAGCTTAAGTATTGCATGGTTTCTCTTGTATGAGAAACCCAAATAATAAATAATGAGCAAAAAAAAAAGATGATAGGAAGTAGGAAGATAGATCTTTCTCAAATGGCAAGGGAATCAAGAGATGTTGACTTTAATGGTTAAAAAGAGAGAGCAGTGGAGGGAGAAGGTGAAAAACAAATTTAAGATGTGGACTCATACCAACTCCGCACAAGGAATGTAAACGTTATGTACTACAAATGTGTACTAATAAAAAATAAAATTTTAAAACATAGCGGAAGGAAAGAAGCATGTGCTGAGTAAACTATGTGGTGTTTAAATCTTTAGAAAACGTATTACGTTAGAAGACAGTGTTAGGACTCCCTTACTGAGCACAGTCCGCCCATCATTCTGGCCACTTTCTGGAGCAGCTCGGGAGCCCTCAGTATCAGCCTTACCAGGGGCCGGCCCGGGCAGCGTCTGCTCCGCGCGGGGAGACCGCTGGCCAGACCCTGAAGCTGAGCCAGGAGATGACGTCCAGGGTGAAGGTGAGGATTGAAGCTCCCCGGGGAGGATCGGCGGAAGTCCTCCCTCCCTTTTCCTCCATACCGACCTGACAAGGGCCTCCCGAAGCGGCCTCGGTGCCCAGAACCACCCACCTCGCCTCGGCTGGGCGCTCCCACTCACCCCCAATGAAGAGTCCGTCCCGCCACACGCTCTCTCCCGAGGGCCTTCACGGTGTGACCGCTGCTGCCCAGCGCCATCCAACCGAAAGGCAGCTCGTAAACACGAGGCTGTGTCCTCGTCCACCTACTTCACCGGACCGGGCACCATGCTGCTGCCAGCTCGTACCGAAGTCAAAATGACCGCGCAGGTCAGTGTTTTCAGTCCATTCGGGACACCTGAGGCGGCCAGGTCGGTGCAAGTACAGACGGCAGGAAAGCGGCCTCCAGAGCTGCGGCAGGAAGCGCGAGGGCCGTGGGACGCGTGTGCTCAGAGTGAGGGGAGGACTTGAAGGGGGTAAGCGGCAGCATGTCTTTTACTGTAACAAATTAAAAATGGAAACATTCACTGTATTTTAACTTGTTTACTGCGAGGCCATGGACAACAGGGCGGCGCCCCGCGGGTCAGCAGTAATGGAGACCCGGCCCAGCTTTCAGACACAGAGGGGTGCGAAACTCTTCTGCTGGTCTCACCTGTAGCTGTTACCTGATTAACTTTGCCTCTCACATCATCCACCCTCTGGCCTTGGTGTGGAACTTAGGAATCTCAGAATTTTTCTTTTATCCTAGGATACTATTACTTTTTCTTTTTAGCAGTCCTGGGGATGAAGCCCAGGGCCTTCACACGGAGCTACATCCCCAGCCCCCACAGCAGCCCCTTAAAATTCTTTTTTGAGACAGAATCTTCCCAAGTTACCCAGGTTGAGCTCAAACTTGGCAATCTTCCCGCCTCAGCCTTCACTAGGATATCTTAAATCGCTGATAGACACTGAAGGGCAAATCTGTTTCCTTGGCCTTACTTGTGTTCATTACCATCCTAGCCACCTTGTCTGCTGGAGGTTTTGCCTCTTTTCACTTTTCTCAAGCCAGGAAGTGAAGGCAGCCAGGGTGGCGGTGGTGATTTTAGCTGACAGAGTCCGTCACCTCTAGTGATTAAAGATAAGAGAAAGACAAGGTTTTAAAAATGTCCTCACTGTGCCTTCAAGGACCAGTCAGGGGCTCGGTTGCAAGCAGAAGAGTCACCAGCAGGCTCTTGGGTTGGAAGTGCCAGGAAGCCAAGCTCACAGACGGAAGGAAGGGAAAGGACTGGCGTGGAGCCCTGGCCAGCCCAGGGCTGCCTGACGGCCCGGGCTGTGAAGATCCTGTCCCGGAAAAGCCCGGTCCCAGTGGACAAGAACTTGGGGAGCAAAGCACCAGTCAGATCTAAGGTGGCAGCGAGCAGTTACCGGGGACGTCCTTAGCTCTGTGTCTTGGGTGGCAGCAAATCATGGACCCTGCAGTTTAGGTCCGGAAGAGGAGGCTTTATACCGAGCAGGACACAAGTGGCCTTCTGCAGGCCAGGCTGAGCATCTCAACCTAATACCAAGGGGCCCGGCACGTTCTTGGCACCGATCACTGCAGGACCCAGGACGTGAGGCTCCATCCACCACTGTGTTCCGCCCGGGTACAGGGTGCGGGAGGCTGTGTGGGACCCCGGGGCAGCCACGGTGGGCACATCCAAGATGGGTGCGGTGCCGTCAAGCTGGGCGCCCCACAGACTCCTGGTGCCCTGGCCTCACTGCGAGGAGCTCCCATCTCCCCGAGTCTCTGTGACCTCGGCACACACAGTGGCACCAGGCGCCCTGACCCGGCTTCCAGTCCAGCCGAGGGAGGCTTCTGCCCCGCTGGTCTGGCGGGGTGGCAAACAGAGCGAGCAGGGGCTGCTCTCAGGACGAGGCTGAGCTGGAGGAGCTGCCCCCGAAGCGAAGCCCACACGTACTGTCCACACCGAGGGGTGACTTCCTGTGTGCAGAGAAACGCGTCTTACTACCGTACAGCACACACTTGGCAGCATGCTTTGTCTTCCAGACGGCAGTGAGATTCCAGCTTCGACCTTGATGGATGTTTTGCTGATGAAAAACTTTAAACTTGTCGTTAATGAAAGAGCCTATGTCGTACAGAGTCCCGAGGGAGGTAAGAAACGCGCTGTCACCGCCATCCGCCTGCGTGAGCAGGCGTCTCTCTGAGGGGCTTTTCGGGGAGCAAGCAGGCCTGTTTGGGCAACGAGTTCCCAAGGGCATCGCCCTCCTCTCCTCCTTCTTCCTCCTGCTCCTTCTCCTGCCCCTTCCTCCTCTCCTCTTCCTCTCCTTGTTTTTGAGCACATGTCTGTGGAACATCAATACATCCATCATGGGGAGTTGGTCCATGCACACAGCACATCTTCATTCTTTCTCCATCCCCTTCCCTCCCTTCCCTCCATCTCAGTCTCCTTCCCATTTGCCAAAGATCCGCCTCCCTATTTCCTGTTGTCTATGTTGTGTTTTGCACTTTGATTTATTTCTACTTGGAGTCTTCTGAAACAGCAGCTTTTCCCCTATGGGAAGCAGGATGCAGTTTTCCTCTGATTTTCGCTCTCCAGCTGGTGGAGTTTCCACAGGGAAAACTCACAAAAGTGTGGGCCTGGCCCCCAGCCTGGGGCTGGGGTTTTAAGTCTGTAGGAATCTCAGTTCTAGTCCAGTGCTCAAGCTGGGTACCTGGTCCTCACAGCTTTCCTGTAAATCCTCACTCTCCCTGTCCTTCTCTCCAGTTTTGGGGACTGTGGTTTTCCCTGTGACCACAGTTCTCTTGCAGATGTAAACTGTTGGCTTTTTAGTTTATTCATTTATTTATTCACTGCTTGACGGGACCCGCCATCACTAGTCGAACAGTACCTGAGAGGAGGGGTGAGGATGAAAGAAAAAACACACTTCAAAAGAAAAAAGACAGAGTCGTCCGAGCTCCTAAAACCAAACAACCAAGTTTATTCTCACCTCCCTTTTATACACTAAGTGAGTTAGGTCATTAACCATGACCTTTATCCAAAACACCTGCTTCGTTGTTTACCAGTTCTTTGGGAATTCCCCACCCTCATGGGCTTCCTTGTTTCTCGGGCTTACAGAACGTTTATCACGTTCCAGGGCAATCTAATTCGGCAAGTACGTGGTTCCTCATAACATAGTCTCCTTGCTCTATATTATGGAGGGTAAGATTAAACATGGATCCTCTATGGCTAACACCGCTCTCCACAACTGCTAGGATAGAGTGAGGGCTTTCAAGGTCCTTACATGCCAGATTGGAAACTTCTTAAAGACAGATTTCCTTTTGATTTCAAACTCTAGTTTGAGCATTGCTAGTACAGAAATAAACTCCAGCATGTTCCAAAATCCAACTTTTTGGGTGCTGATACGACCCAGTGGAAATTCCACACCAGGCCTCCCATGAAGGGTTGCAGTTGAAATGCAAGTGGACAAAAATACAGTACAGGAGCTGGGGCTCAACTCAGTGTTGGAGCACTTTCCTGGCACAAGGCCCCGGGTCTGATATCTCATTATGTTTGTGCAAATATTCCAAAACCCAAAAAGGAATCCTAAAATTGAAATACTCCTATTCCCAACCATTCTGGGTTTTTGCTTGTTTTGTTTTTTGGAGATTTGTTTGATTGTTGAGACAGGGTCTCATCATATAGTCCAGGCTGGCCTTGAACTTACTATGTAGCCCAAGTTGGCTCAAATCACAGTGGTCCTCCCGCCTCAGCTCCCAGGGGCTGGCATCACAGGTGTGCACCACCACACCTGGCTTGCTCCCAAGCATTTTGGATAAGGGATACTCAAGTTGAATCAGTTTAATGATTACCAATATGCTTTTGGAAACTTCTCAGTTGTCATTACTTCAAGTCTCCTCTCATCCCCATGTAGTCTTCCCATTTTGCATTTATGTTACATCTTCCTAATTATTCTCTTAGTGTTCTCCATTCCTTTTCCTCTCTCTAATTTTCAGTTTGGGAAGATTTTGCTGATATAACCTCAAGTTCACTGACCCTTCCTTCCCAGTTTCTAGTCCACTGTTGAGCCTGTCAGAGACATTTTTCAAGCTGGGCGTGGTGGTGCACACCTGTGATTCCAACTACTTGAGAGGCTGAGGCAGGAAGATCACAAGTTCTAAGTCAGCCAGGTCAACGTATGAAATGAAAAGGGCTGGCCTGCAGCTTAGTGCTCCCGGGGTTCAATCCATAGTCCCACACTCAGAAAAAAGACATTTTCACTTCTGTGACAGTGGTTTTATCTTAGCAACCCCTTCTAGTTCTTTCTTAGCTCCCATCTCTCTGTCTACATTGCGTGTGCGCCTTGAGAAACTGTACTCTTTCAGCCGTGATTACTTGAATGTCCCAGTCTGATCATTCCAAGATCTGTGCTCAGAGCTTCCTCTTCCCTACCCCCCAAGCAGGGGCAGAAGCCACAGGTCCAAGAGGCCAGAGCACATCCTTCACAGCTCACCCTGATTCCCCTGCCTGGAGGGCTGCAGGTGGGAACTGATCCCCAGGGCTGGTGGCTGAGGTTCCCAGAGATTCGGTCACCTGCAGACTGCTGACAGGGACCTGTCAAGACTCACAGTGTGAATGAACCACAGCATGCGGGTATGATTGGCAGAGGACACATACTAGACAAATTGAAAATGAAACTTAGAAAGTTGTAAATTTGGCCAGGCATCCTGACACACCCCTGTAACTCCAGAACTGGGGAGGCTGAGGCAGGAGGATCTCTGGGAGTTCATGGTCAGCCTCACCTGCATAGTGACTTCAAGCCCAGCCTGAACTATGTAGGAGACCCTGTCTCAAAAAAACAAATTGTACATTTGTAGTTTAAAAACTTATTTGAAGTATTTCCTAAAACATTACAAATTTGGATTTGCAAATTGAGGGCATGAAAATAAAATCCATGTGGAAGACACAAAAAGGGAATAAGCAGCTATGGTATTAGCATATTTTCCTCATAGGTGGGGTTACTAGGCGATGCCACACGCGTCGTATCAGTTAAGTTGCTTATGTAGCTAGGGATTCTATGGCACCCCCACTCTTCTTTCTCCGATAATGAGGTTTCACATTTATTAAAGGTCAGACAAGAAAGATGCACTGCAGGGTGACAGCAGGCCACAGAGAGCCAGCACTGGCAGAGAGGTTAGCAGCAGCCGCCCTTGGTGACTCCCATGCTGACATCAGATCTAGGCCATCCCATCCCAAAGGAACTGAAGACAGCGCTTCCTCAGTGGTCCCAGGTGCAGGCTTGGAAGAGTTTTCCAGGCAGCTGCTCCTGGATTTCTGTCACCGACAGGTCAAGTGTGGCACCCATACTTCTGCAGAGCATAGCAAGGGTCTTGTCATGGAGCTCAGGCAGAGACTGAGCAACTCCGTCCTGGCGCAGACTCTAGCAGACCCTGCTGAGCTTCTCCTTCACCAGGCCTGCACCTCAGCCTGGAGAAACTGCAGGCTCAGCCCAGGGACTTCAGGCACACACACACGCACACACACACACACCCCTCCCCTCCAGGATACTGGAACTTGTGTGCTTGGTTGCAGCGCCAGGCCCCTAAGATGCCTGCCTGAAAGAGCCCCACGCCCCCTGAGTTGCTTGTGTGACCCCAAGGCTGGCAGTTAGTGGCCCGGGCCCTGAGCCCAGCCTGGCACAGTTGCTGAGGGGACCTGCAGCTCTGAGCTCGCTCAGACCTTGGCCTTGGGGCTCCCTCCAGGAGCCCTCTGGGGTGCAGAGTCCAGGCTGCCCCAGGCGGTGGGCCTGCACTGACCCGCACCCTCGGCTCCTCACAGTGAAGACGGAGCCTTTGGGTCTGAATCTGCAGGGAACCAGCACGAGGGCTCCTCACACCCACTTCCCTTCCGGCTTTCCTGACTCTGGGGCCTACGCTGTCCTCCCTCCTGACTCCGCTTTCTCCCTTTCAAACATCCACGAACCTCCCCCAAGTCAAAGCTGAGTTTGGTTCCTTTCACGCCAGAATTCTTCTCCATGGAAAGTTGTTAATGAAACCCGTCCCGGGCCGGCACGCAGCTCAGTGGTAGAGCATTTTCCTGACATGCAGGAGAGCTTGGTCTCCGTGCCCAGCAACTCGAAAAAGGAAGGAAAGAAGGAAAGAAAATTTCCCTACCACTTTGGTGTCCGCTGTTTCTCTTTGTTATTCTCTGCGGCTTTGGACTAGATCCCGCCTGTGGACAGCAACTGTGCATAGGTAGACACACGCCTTTTAGCTGTCCTTACCTTTCCCTGCCTTGTGGTTCTGGGGGACAAACCCTCATTTTTCCAGGTAACAAAGGATTCTGGCTCAGGGACGGCAGCGGCCTGCAGCAGAGCCACTGCTCCTGCCCCTCTGCGGAGCTCTGGTGCCTGTGTGGCCAGAGCTGCAGACCGCAGCAGAGTCTTGAAGAACTGAGCGCCTGGGCCCAGGTGGGGGCCGGGGCTGATGCCACGTCAGGGTGCTGCCTCCTACTTGGTTTCCTTGGGTTCTCCCGGCAGAGCCAGTGAACCGGCGGTGTCCTCGGGCAAGCGTCATTATAGCCCCAGTGTGTGAGTCCAGCCAGCCCACAAAGGAGGAAAGGAGAGAGATCTTGCCTCTCCTCCGCACCCCTTGCCCAGCTCTGGTGGCGAGTGATCCAGTGGCAGAAGCAAAGGGTAGTTCATCATGGGGACACTGCATGCTAAGGACCAGGGTGTGAGTGATTCTCAAGGAGGCTGTGAGAACTGCAGTCTATGCGTCATCTTCACCAAGAACACACGTTTTCAGAGAAGCCAGAGGACAGACAAAAGGAGTCGCTAGGAGCAGCAAACTGGGAAGGCAGATTATGAAAGGCAGATGGGGGCTGGGGGAAGGTTGGCGTGGATTGCTTTGGGGACAGCTCTAGGCCGTGAAGCGGTGGGACTCAGTCCAGTATAACGCAGTGCTGCGGTTGGAGTGACACCCACCCACATTCCATTCCCTTGCTGAAAACCTTCTTAGCTAGGAGAAGAAGGTTCTAATGACAGCCCTATATTTTGTCTGTTCTGTTCCTAACTCGAGAATTCTTTGTCTTTTCCTCTAGGAGTCTTGCCCACATCAGTATCCATAGCACCTGCACAACTGCATTTAGTTCCCCTTTACCCCATTCTGCTTACAATAAAAATCAGGAGCTTGGACTTTTCTGATTGCTCATCACTGGCTGTCCTGGCTCCCCACTTTTTTCTTTAATTCTGTCTCTGAGTCTTCAACCCTGTGTCCTTCACTGGGCAAGAGACTGGTCCCTTCTGCAGGGGTCTCCAGGGCACACCCGCTTCCCCAGTGTGTGTATGCATTGCCTTGTGCCTTGTGCTTTATTTACTGCGACTTTCTTCTTGAAAGCAGCTTACACTTGAGCAGCTTTTCCGACATGTTTGCCTGTGTTTACCTGACTGGACACGAGCTTCCCTCCCTGTGCATCCTGGAGTAGCTGTCGGGGAGAGGGCCAGGGCAGGGAGTTCACTCTGAGGTGAAGTCAGGCCTAAGAGTGGCCGGTAGACTCATGTGTCACAAGGTCAGCCGAGGTGGTCACATGAATTTGGTTACATGGAGGTTTCCCTGACTCTTCCTATAAATCTTGTTGTTTTGGGGTTTTTGGAGACAGGGTCTCAATTTGTAGCCCCGGCTGGCCTGGAACTCACAGCGATCCACCTGGCTCTGCCTCCTGAGTGCTGCCATTGCAGGTGTGCAGCACCACCGGATGGAGGAATGAGTGCGACTGCCTTATATTCCCTTGTCTTTTCTCAGAGAAACCAAGTAGGGAGCCCTTGAGGGAGATGGAAAACGCGTACTCCTTGGTGCACAGGCTGTTTTCGGTCCTGCACCCAGAGGAGTCCCAGAAGGAGACGGAGCACCGCTTGCTGGTGAGGATTGACCACCTGCAGGCACAGCTGCAGCCACTGGAGCAGGTGAGGCCCTCTCCTTAGTCACTATCGGCCACACCCAGGTGTGTCCCCGGTTCCCAGGCATCCTGCTGAGCGCCTGTCCTGGCTCATTCTCTCCTGAATCGTCCTCTTCAGAAGAGGCCACAGGGGGAGAGCCCTTGTGCTGGATCTGAGCCGGATCTCTGTAGCCAGGCCCTGAGCACTGCTCCACCTGGTGCTGCAAGCAGAAATCTGAGTTCCTCAGCCCTGGAGACAAAATAGCTGACATTTTAGGACATGAGGGACAGAGTCTGTTTAAGGAAAAAACTATTCTTCAAGCCTGTAATCAGATTTGTGTTTATGTAGGAAAAATTGGCGAGTACATGTATATCTCTGTACATGAATTGAAAGTTTTTGAAGATACTGTGGGGGTGCTTTTTGAGGCAGGGTTTTACTGTCTGTTCCTCCTGCCTCAGCCTCCCCAGGGCTGGGATTACAGGTGTGCCACCATGCCTGACTGAAGATGTAACTTCTAATGGTGATCCCCTCCTAAGCGAATTTAGGGAATGGTAGAGAGAAGAACTTTGTTTGATTTTTCTGGGTTGAATACCCTATTTTAATTGTTTTGCTTTTTAACAAATTGATATACACTTTGGTTAAAATTTCTGAAATCTTTCAGATTCAGGGACCTAATAGACGGCTCGTGTCCTCCTGCCCTCCACTCCCATCACAATGTGCCTCATGGCTCTGAAGCACGGTCAATTTTCTCTCTGTACACATCTCACTGCTTTTCACTGGAGGTCTCTCCTAGGGGATTCACAGCACCTGTGCTCTGTAGCTGCAGTGAGGACTCTCTCCTCTGCTGTTGAGAGGGATTCTGTAGTGAGACTGCTCCCAGTTGTGTGTAGGAGAAATTCCCCTGGAGTGTTAGCTTCAGAGGGTGACCTCTTTCTGTACACCCTTTATATTAGGTTGTTTTTGTTTTTTGAACAGGTAAAACCTTTTTAATTTAAAAAAGATTTATTGCAACCTGATTTGGAAATGAGTCTAATGTATGTTCCATAATTGCTTCTCCATACACCTGACCTCTTAAATGCAGATGTGCACTGCTTCCAAGGCAAATTTTCGTCTTGCTTTTTGTTTTCTCTTAAGTTGGTGCACTTGTAAACTGACTTGTTTTGAATTTGTTCTGATGCATGGTGAAGCCCAGGCTGGCCTTGAACTTGCAGCGAGGAACCCTCCTGCCTCAGCCTCCCAAGGGCTGGGATTGCAGGTGTGAGCTGACTCAGAAGTTCTCCCTCCTCTAGGTGAAGGCTAGAATTGAGGCTCGAGCGGAAGCCAACACCAGCAGGCTGCTGTGGGCCGGCCTGGCACTGCTGTCTGCCCAGGGGGGCGCACTGGCCTGGCTCACCTGGTGGGTGTACTCCTGGGACCTCATGGAGCCTGTCACCTGCTTCCTCACCTTCGCAAACTCCATGGCCTTCTTTGCCTACTTCATAGTCACGCGGCAGGTGAGTAATTGCCCGGGACAAAGCTCTCTGCTGGGAATTCCTTGTCCAGGTCGAGCAGCGAGACCTTTGCCGCTCTTGTTCGGGTTTCCGTAAACTTGTGATTTATATGTTGTTTTTCCCAAGGCTGGAGAGGGGCAACTCAGGGAAACTGCATCCAACCTTTGCAGAGGAATAATTAGGACAATGCACACATTCTCCCTCCGGGATTAACTTGTGGAGGTGACGTCCTCCGAGCCGCCACTTATGAATACAGTTGAATTCGGACTGCAAGACCCCAGCACCTTACTGCCTCGGCTGCAGTCACTGACCCAAATCTCCCTTCCTCTTTCTCTCCTCTTCCCCCATGTGTCATTTCTTTGCATGTCAGCTCCAGTTTGCCTGCATGGCTGCCGCAAATACTCAACCCACTCATCGCCTGCCCTGTGTGGCTGCCAAGCAGCTTTCCTGCAAGGGCGGTTGTTCCCCTAAACATTCGATTTCTTCTCTTTCTGTAGAACTGTACTTATCCCACCGCTAGGAGGAGGCAGCTTCTTCACATCTTCCACAAGTGGTCAAGGCACCAGCGCTTCGATGTGCAGCAGTACAGCGAGTTGAAGGACGAGCTGGCCAAGGTGCCCAGGGTTCCTGCTGCAGCCGCTTCGCTGGGGGAGAGAAGCCAGTCAGGGAGAAGGAATGGGAGGGTCACCATGACCGCATCTGGCGGTGCAGAGTTCTGTGCATTGTCAGATTGTTCAGCAGAGTGCTCACATTTCTGACGCTACTTCCATACCCTAGTTCTATGCTTGTTTTTGGTTCTCTGTAAAGGGATATTTGGTGGGGCGAGGCGGGGGGGAGGTCTGGAGATTGAACCCAGGGCCTTCACACTGAGCTGTATGCACAGCCCTTTTAAATTTTTATTTAAATACAGAGTCCCACTAAGTTGCCCAGATTGGGTGCTAACTGGTGATTCCCTGCCTCAGCCTCCCTGAGGGCTGGGATTACAGGTGTTCATCACCACACAAAGCCAAGGATGTCTTTCTTAAATGAGTTTCAGGGAGAAATAAAGGCTTTCAGCAGGAATGTGAGCAAGTGAGGCCAGCCCCAGGTTTGGGAGTTTTAAACTCCATGGCGTTTCCTGGCCTTGAAGGTGGAGGATCCACGATGGTGTCCTCCTCCCATCCTCCGGGTGAAGGGAATCGGCCTCTCAGAGGCTAAAAGCCAAATGCCCAGGAAGGGAGGGAGCCAGGGTCTGAAGCAGCTGCTGCCTGCAGCCTTCACCCGGCTGGGCTTTGTCACAGTGGGCTTCTAAGGTAGTGTTTGGCCCTGGCCTCCCAATTCACACAGTAACCTTGTTCACATGGTGTCTCCTCCGCATGAAAGTGGATTACTTTTTGTAATTTCTTCAGCAAAAAGTTCTGATAAAGATATCCCACATCGCGCAATGCACACACATTTAACAGCAGTTATGTCTAAAGTACTCACTATGAAGTTAGAGAAATGATTACCAGTAACTGTATAACCCCCCAGTTGAAGAACCTTTAAAATTGTTTATTTCTTTTTTGGTACCAGGGATCGAACTCAGGACCTTGTGCTTGTGAGGCACACGCCAGCACCACTGAGCCAAATCCCTGACCCTAAAATCATTGATTTCATATAATCTTAAGTAGGAAAAATGTAATCCTGTGTGTTTTTTAATTTTGTGGATTTCCTTACTTTTGAATGATGCAAGGGTAAGGAGTGTTCCTCTGGCTCATTACAGGATGGGGAACTGAGATTTAAGGTGCTGTCCTGTGAAGTATGATTGGTTTTTAAGGTAATAAAGTGGAGTGGAGACAGAAAGCAAACTGGTAGGTCATGGAGGTTTTTTTGAAGAATATGAACTGGCAAATCCATTCTGAAGGGGGTAAGCTAATTTTTGTTAAAGCATGAGGATGAAATACAAACCCTGTTCATCTTTTCAAAAAGGATGTAGATAAAGTTGAGATAATTTAGGGATTTGCCACCTGGGGGTTGAAGTGTTTTACTGACCTAGATTTATCAAATTTTTCTCAAAGCAGTAATGCAGCTTTCTCTATTTTTGCTTTTTTCCCCCAACAGGCTAAAGAGTCCCTGAAACGTGTCCGCTGCTCAGTCTACCTGGGGCTGCAGGTAGAGGAACTCAAGGAGAAGAATTAGCTTTTGCTTTTTTGTGAACGTCACCAGATTTTTCCATGATGTTCTGATTTCATAACATGCGAATGGCACATTATTGAGTCTCATTGTACATTTCAGTTTGACTGTTTCAGACTTTCGTAGTTGTGAGAAACTGCAGCCCTGTCTTTTCTATCAAAGGATACAAACAGGAGTGGCCCGTCTTAGACCCCAGTCCACCCTAGGCAGCCCCTCCTTCTACCCTGAAATTATGAGAAACGCCTGCTCCGCTCACATTTGGGAAACATACCTGAGACCCACACAGCTTCACAATAGCCAAAGACCTCGGGATTCCCCACCCTCCCCTCCTCCTAGTCTGTCCCCTCAGAAGCCCTTAGCACCCCCTCAGGCCCCTGGAACTAGCCAGCCGAGAGACAGTGAGCCTTTGGGTCCAGCCAGTGAATTTAAAGGAGGGCTGCTTGCCGTGTGTGCCAGCTTAAAACCCTGCTTCCTGGCGCAGGCCACGCTTGCTGCCTCCTGTTGGAGTACGCTCGAGCCCTTCTGCAGAAGTAAACTTTGAACTTTCCCCTGTGGAGTTCTGTGGCTTGCTGTCTGAGTGCATTCTTTCTGGCACCCACAGTTTGAGTCTGGGAGCTCATTTCTAACAGTAGTTAATACACTGGTGTAAAAGAGGGGCATTCTTGGGTGTTTCCCCTTGTGTTTCTTGGCATACAGGTTTGCTGGCTTGTTCCTGCCGGAGCCGCCAGGGACTGAATCCCCACCCGCCCTCCCCCGGCCACAGTGAGGAACCTGGCTTCGCCCACCTCGCCCTGGGGCTGCCTGTGGACTCAGGCTGGCATTCACTTCTCCCTGCGCGGGCAGTAGTTGGAAGTCGTGCCTTCATCATTTAAGAACCCCGGACCAAAATGTGAAGCTGCAGCTCTGGACTCAACTCCGCAATTCAGTTCTCCAAACTTAAGCATGTCACCGTCTTCATCCTAGCAGGGATCAGCAGGGTTAGTCAGATTAATCTATCATTTAAAAGAATCGAACCTTGTAGGAGACCAGCGGAACCCACACTGAGCAGGGTTTAGATATTATTGATTTGGCTTTTGAATTTTGTTACTGATTAAGACTATGAATCACTCTAAGGCCTAAGTGTGAATTGCTAATTGACCTTTCCGCTGGTGTTTGGAGCCAGACTTCCTTATGCCTACAGTCATAATTGAAGTTTCAGTAATTGATGAGGTTGTGACATCTCTACTGAGAAAACACTGTAGCTGAGGAATTATGACTCTGCAGCCATTCTCTAAGGTCAAACATTAGCAAGATAATGCAGACAGCTTGTTAGCTGTGACCTTCACAAGTATACATGGCTACTCCCTTTCCGAGCCTGGCTCATTAAGTACATTAATTCTGCTATTCCTTACATATGTCTTCATGTCCTGTTGTTATTATTGTAGACAGTTGATTTAGGAGACTGGATTTTTTATTTTTTTGGTACCGGGGATCGAACTCAGGTCCTTGCACTTGCGCAGCAGGTGGTGGAACCACTGAGCTAAATCCCTGGCCCAAATATTCTTTTTTTTTTTTTTTTGGTACCCAAGATCGAACTCGGGACCTTGTGCTTGTGAGGCCAGCACTGGAACCACTGAGCTAAGTCCCTAGCCCAACAATTGATTTAAATAGAAATATTATAGGCAGCCAGATAGGGCTAGGTGCTCAAGAGAGTCAGGTCAAAGGTGAAACACACCACAGCTATGACTTGAGACCTCAGTTGGAAATTGAGCCTTAAAATACAGACAAGATGAGCAGACCTGCATACTTCCACAAAGAACCAACACTGGGCCTGATGAAGTCCAGGTAGACCATCAGCCACCCCAGTGGTGACCAGAGACTTCACTTCCTAGGAGAATCTGTTCTTTCCATGCACACTGGTTACTGACTTGTTTCCCAATTGGACCACCATTACCTAAGTGACTGTTCTTGTAGCCTCATTGGATGATCACGGCTGTGGCCCATGTACCCACGTGGGTTTTGCTGTAAAACTCCCTTATTGAGTGGGGACCGTGGAATCCCACTCAGGACCCCTCCTGCCCCTCAGGAGCTTTTCTATCAATAAATACCTTCCTACTCTTAACTTCTTTGTTCCTATAATTCATTTTTGATTTTTAGAGAACAAGAGCTCAGCATATCACACAGCTAACAGGCTGGGAGATATATTTCCTATTTCATCTTTGGTATTATTTCCTGAAACATTATTGGAGATCACACCAAGATAGTAATTAACAGGAGGTAAGAGTTTGCTTTTATTTCTTGATTAGTGAGTTAAGTAGCCAAAATTGTCATTCTTGTGCCTTCTGTAAATTGCCTTATGCCTTGAGTTCCTATACATTGTTTTCCTGTTAAAATGGTGGTGATGTTTCTTTAAAGGGATATTTTACTTTTGTAGACAAGGTTCAGTGTTTCTGTTCTATAGTGATTGCTTGCTTGATTGACTTGTTAGACAAAGCTAAGGAAAAGCCATTTTAAAGTGACATCTAGGGGACTTCAGTGATAATTGCAAGTAAATTGAAAAAATAGGTCTGTAAAATCTAGTTTATATTTGAGAAATATACATGCCTATATAAAATGCAGGACCCCAGCTGCCAGTTAATAAGGTTCTAGGCCAGCAGCCACTGTTAAGACTTGGGGAGCAGGTTTCCCTGAGCAGACCGGCCCAATCCTTAGACTACAGAAAACGCTGAACCAGCTCTGCCTCAGTTTCCTTTCTGGTCTGATCTTTGGCTGGTGGGGAGGCAGTCTCAGCTCTTGAGATTTCCCCACTTGGCTCTCCAGGCTCAGAGTGACAACTCAGGGGCAAGCTGCCTCAGTAACTCACCATGAGCATGAGAAGAGAAGACCTCCTTCCTGATCCCATTTCCAATCTCTCCTGCCACTGTATACACTCCTTTATAGTGGTGTGTAAAATTAGAAAAATTATCTGTAAAGTATCCCATCTTTTTCCTCCTAAGAACCTTTAAGTCCTTAGAAAATGAGTGTTTTGTGAACGCCGAAGACAGGGAAGTCATCTTAGATGAGGAACACATATCCTGTCTCTGGGTCAGATGAGATGTTGCGATTTGGTCCATCCCAGAGAGCACATAAGCACAGTGTCCCTGCTTAGTGCTCTGGGTAACAGTCTCGCTCAGGAGAATGAACCTGGGATCTCATGGAAAGAACCAACTTCTGAGTGAAACCAGAAGGAGCTATTTCCGTAAGCACATTTAAGGGACCAAAACACATTTAGTTTAAGGGAGAAGCCCCTCTGTCACTCTCTGTCCTCGTAGGTCTGATTCTTACCATTTATGTGTGTGAGAAAAATGTTTTCCCTAATAAATTGTAGACTACATGGTGAGCGAGACAGGCAGCTAGACTCCTTTCCAGATACAGATCTCTGATTACATGGAACTAGTGAAGATGGGGTGACAACTGAGGGGTCATGGCTAGGGCTTCGCTTTGGCTGATATTCAAACGTCCCCCAGTGAAAGCTGGGTCCTCACAGCCCGAATGGGTAATCAGTAGAGAATCTCCACGTACCTGTTGTCCCCACCTGCACCCCTCAGTGAGGTGAAGGGTGACCCTGTCCGTGAGCGCTAGACATGCTCTGTCTCAGAGTGACCCGAATTGATGCTGGCACAGCCCTTCGCAAGGCTTTGTTGAGTTGAGCTACAGGATGAGACCGTTCTCCCTCTGTCTGTGCTAGTAAGATAGACCCCTGGCTAGGCACAAATGGGTACAGTAGCTCTCTGTAGGTTGTTTTGTTTTGTTTTGTTTTGGTACTGGTGATCAAACTCGGGTCCTTGCGCTTGTGTACCAGGCGGCGAAACCACTGAGCTAAATCCCTGGCTCTCTCTGGAGGTTTTTGATAACTCTGATAAGTTAGAACTCCCAAGCTCTTGGGAATTAACTTTAGAACTCATTGGCTGTTTTATCATTAGGCTACACCTCTCTAGGAGGCCTCATGCAGGATTAGCTTCTAGGAAACTGCCTTTCACAGAACAGCTAACAGAAAAGTGATTTACATTTATACTTTGCTAAGTAGGGATACAAAAGTGATTTCAGCCACCTTTTCTCTCCTTCCACGTGCTTGTAGAAACCTGGTAAGTGTGCCTTGTGTTACTAGACAATGGGTATAAGTTTAACCTGTGAGCCTCAGACTTTGAACCTTGACTCAGATTTTGACTTTTCTGTGAGCCTCAGAATAAACTTTTTCCAATATTTTTGGTACCGAGGATCGAACTCAGGACCTTGAGCTTGCGAGGCAGGTGCCAGAAACACTGGGCTAAATCCCAGGCCCCTTCAGAATGAACTTTGAACAGTGTGCAGCAGTCTTTTTCTTGCTGGTTACCTAGGTGATCAGGCAGATAGCATAGATTTCTTAGAGATTTCTCCATGGGCAGAGTTCCTCTTAGGTATTTGTCTGCTTCTGACTCTAGAAGTGAGCTCTTTTGCAGGGTAAAAAGCACTGCCCTTGACTCTGTCTCATTCTCTCTCAGACAATTAGAAAATAGTGGCTTAGATCTCTTGATTATTGGTTTGGGTAGCAATGCTTCCTTCTTTAAAAACATGATCGTTCAACTAAAATCAGCTGTAAGTTGGGCTTTTGAAATACATACGGGAGTAAGAACACAAGTTCCCTGGGAAGGTAAGATCGTGTCCTGGTAACAGGTGGCTCCTCCAGTCTGATCTCTCTTATGGGCCCTCTCCAGATGGCCGCCAGCTGCCCTGGTGCTGTGATACCTTAGGGAAACCCTGAGAGCATAGAAATCAATCAGAATCACAGGGATGCCATGTTTCTGTTTGCATTTCAGAATGGGAAATTCAAAATCAAAATCCATTACTTCTTTGAAATACATTTTTAAACACTGGCAAAAGTTCAACCCTCATATACTGAGAAAGAGCAGCTTAATTTCTTCTGCACCGACCCATGGCCTTCCTATCCTCTAGAGCCAAACTGGAATACAGGGGGGAGTACTGACTATGATGCTATTTCACAACTAGAATTATACTGTAAAAAAGAGGAAACATGGTCAGAATTGCCTTATGTTCAGATCTTTGCTTTAAGACATAATCCTGAGGCCAGGGATTTAGCTCAGTGGTTCCGCCTCCCGCCTCTCAAGCACAAGGTCCTGAGTTTGATCCCAGGTACCAAAAAAACAAAAAAGATAATCCTGATTTGTGTTCAAAGTGTACATGTAAATACAAGCTGCAGGAAAACTAGACACCTCTTGTCCTGATCATGAAGCCTGAGGTTTCCCGCCCTTGCCATGTGGACCCTGAGGAAGAGGTTTCTAAGGCAACCCTGATCAAAACTCCACCTACTATTACTAGATCTGAGATCGACATTTCAAGACAATCCTAGTCCAAGCCCCACTACTACCAGGCCCTCCTGATCTGGGAAGGGGCCCTCCAGCGTAGTCAAATCGACTACTCTCAGTCAGAAGTTGAGTGGGCTCTCTCTCATGGATGCCAATTTCTTCCCTCAGGAAGGATACAGTCAGATGATAATAAATTGTTCCTTTCTAGTGCTAGCCAATAGAAAATTATTAAATCATTACCTCAAGCCTTTCATTTAGGGGGAGACAAGACTCACCAGATAAGCTCAAAGTTATTCTTGGGAAAAGGACTTTCAGACAATACAACAGATAGTTAAGTCTTGCAAACTTGCCAAAAGAATAATCCTCTCAACTGAACCACAGTCCCTCCAGGTATACAGAGACATGGTAAATACCATGGAGAGGACTGGAAAATTGATTCTACTCATATGCCAAAGAGTAAGGGACTCTAGTACTCATTGATCTTGGTATATACTTTCGCAAACCAGGTTGAGGCCTTTCCTTGCAGAACAGAAAAGGCTCAAGAGGTGGTAATGGTTTTGGTTTCAGAAATTATTCCCAGGTTTGGACTTCCTAAGAGCTACAGAGCAGTAATGGGCCTTCTTTTAAAGTAACAGTCATCCAACACATCTCTCAGGCACTGGGCATTCTCTATCAACTCCATTGTGCCTGGAGGTCACAATCATCAGGAAAGGTAGAAAAAAACAAGTGAAATCTTCGCAAAACAGCTCAGGAAACTCACCTACAGTGACCTCACTTACTACTTTTAGTGCTTATCAAAATAAGAAATACACCCTGAGGGGCCGGGGATTTAACTCTGTGGTTTTGCCGCCTGCTGCGCATGCGCAAGGACCCGAGTTCAATCCCCGGTACCGAAAAAAAAAGGAAATACACCCCGAATTCTGGGTCTCAGTACATCTGAAATGCTTTATGGATGTCTTTTTCTCACTAACAATTTGCTCTTCAATAGAGAAACAGATGCCTTTCTAAAAGATGTCACTTCACTGGCTAAATTCCAACAGACGCTCCAACAGCTACTATAAGCTCAGCCTAGAGGAAAGGGAAATCCCATATTACAACCCAGAGATTTAATACTGGTAAGGTCTCTTCCATCATCATCTCCTTTCCTAGGACCTACTTTGGAAGGACCATACATTGTGATTCTGTCAACCCCATCAGCTTGCTCTGATTAACTTGCTCTTCTCTCTACTCTGTTCATTGATTTAAGATAAGAACACTAATTCAAGGTTGCTCGCCTATTAACAGCCATTCAAATTTACAATGTTGCAAATGACACTTTAAAATCCAAGAGGTTACAACCAAGTTTGTTCTAAAAGAGTTATAGTAAATGAGACAAAAAAGAAATATTAAGAAGGGTCTAGGGCTGGGGGTTTAGCTCAGTGGTTCCACTGCCTGCCTCCCAAGTGCAACTGCCTGAGTTTGATCCCCAGTACCGAAAAAAAAAAAAAAGGCTCTAAATAAAAGAGATATACTTTTTTGTTTTTGTTTTTGTTTTTTGGTACCAGGGATCTAACTCGGGTCCTTGCGCTTGCGCAGCGAAACCACTGAGCTAAATCCCCAGCCCAAGAGATATACTTTTGATATGATAAAACTTTTGTGTTGTTAAAAGGATAAAAAGAGAGATAATGACAAGTTTAACTATCTTACATATGTTGAGGGAAAACATGCAAAATTGATTTATAAAAAAAATGTATGCTGGGCTGGGGATTTAGTTCAGTGGTTCCAGTGCCTGCCTTGCAAGCGCAAGGTCCCGAGTTCGATCCCCGGTACCAAAAAAAAACCCCCCCCAAAAAAATGTATGCTTGATTGTTAATTTGGTCAAGGCTAATACTGTTTCTTCCAATAGCTTCTTGTTGCTCAAAAAAAATATGTGATTGCTTGTTAATTTCATAGAGCTCAAATTGGTCCTAATGCAAAAGTACTTGAGAGAATGATTTTCATCACAAAAGAGAAAAAAGAGATGGTTTGAAATCCAAGTGATATAACCGAATTTGTTACAAAAACCACAAACCATCAGCCTAAGGCCCATTTTTAAAACTGTTTTTACGTTTACAGAGATGAAAAGATTTTTTTCAACCTTGTGTGGCTCCTATCCCTCTTAACTTGTGGGAAAGATTTATTACAAAGGTAAATATTAATGCTAACTAATGCCTGAGACACGACAGAGCCCACAGAGAGGCCAGGCCCACAGCACAGGCCCAAGCTCGGCTAAGGCAGCAGCCAAGAGGCTCCCTGGGTTCCCAGCATGGGGCCCAATGTGGGCAGGGCCCGGGTGACCGACAGGCACTCCAGAGGTGCCAGTGGTCATGCTCAGACCCAATAACTTACAAGATTAAAATTAATTTGGTTGCTAATGTTTCTAAAAATATATATACAGCTCTATTATCTCTAAAATATACCATTGTAAAGACTAAAACATTAAAATTTCATTCTGTATAACCCCCAGAGACAAACAATTGTCAAACATGCTCATCAAACTAAAAACAGCTTCTCAAGCAGAAAGGAGGAATATAGGTACCGCCACAAGCTCAATTAGGTCTTATTGCTTTCTTGTAAAAATTTTTAAAAACTGACTTGTGGAAAGTCAATATACTCCATCAAAACTCCATAGGCTCAAGCACAGATCTACAGACAAGCCCTAGCCACAAGTGTTAAAAAAGAGTGTAAAAACAAAAAGGTAAAGTGGCTGGATACAATTAATAACGAGAGGAAAAAGTTATGATTTGTCTTAACAGATAATGGAGAGACACTTGGGCTGTCATCCAGAAAGCTCAGTGGCTCTTGCCCACTCTGTTCAGACTGCTCATTTTATAGATAATTAGACAAAAATGACAGATGATACATGAAAAATTCAACGAGACGGATGCTAAACTTCAAACTCAAATTAGTGTCCTTGAAACCATGGTGTTATGGATGGGAGATGAAATTGAAAGCTTGCAGTTACAACAGGGCCTTAAGTGCCACTGTAAGGTAACTCGCTTTTGCATAACACCTTTGCCATAGAATAAATCTATGCTTCCTCGGGAACATGTGAAGAAACATGTTCAAGGGGCCATCCATCAGAATGTTGCAATTGATATTGAGGCCCCCTGAATGGAAGTTTTATCTATGTCTTAACAAAATCAAGATTTTGATGACAAAATTCAGGATTGGGATAAATTTTCTAATGCTCTTGACCAACTAAATCCCTTTAATTATCTTAAAGCACACTTTTGGTTTATATTGGAATGCTCAGAGTCATCAGGATTCTTTTTGCTTTTATTCATAGTATGCCAGAGAGGAACCAAGACCACCCACCATACAGATACAAGGCAGCCTCGACTTGCTCTGACTCAGCTTCTACAACTTCAAAAGCAGAGCAGAGGAACTGCACGAGACAAGCTTGAAACTGTACTGAGCAGGCTTTAGATATTATTGATTTGGCTTATGAATTCAGCTATTGATTAGGAGTCACTCCAAGGCCTAAGCGTGGATCACTAACTGACCTTAGGGCTGGTGTGCAGAGATAGACTTTTCTGTGCCAGTGGTCACAACTGAAGTCTCAATGATCTATGAGGTGGTGATGTCTCTCTCTAGCAAGGAGACACTGCAGCTGAGGATCAAATGCTAGCAAGACAATGCAGGCGGCTTGTTAGCCATGACCTGCAGGATAGCACAGATGCCATGTTGCCTGTGACCTGCACCAGTACGGACAGTTACTCCCTTCTCCAAGCCTGGCTCCTTAGTGCATTAGTTCTGCTATTGCTCGCATCTGCCTCCAAGCCCCCTTGTGGTGCTGTAGAACCACAAATACCGACTAATCCAGAGCTCGTGGTCTAAGCCAGGACACAGCTGCGATCAGGTGGTCTTCAGCCAGGAGACAGCTAAAGATCAACTCCCAGCCCCCCTAAGTAATAAACTGTTGTTCCTTCTTTATTCTTTATTTCTTTTTCTTCACATATTATTCTTTCATCCCTGTTGTCCCTCTTCAGGAGACCAGGCATCACCTGGTGACTGGTCAGGGCATCAACCTGACAGCAGGTCCAGCCATCAGCCGGGACAACTCTAGTCAGGCTGCCAGCCCCACACAACCCCAAGAGTCACACGTGTGAGCTGTGCAGGAGCCAGGCAGGGCTGGGACTGAGCAGGGAGGTGCTGACAGAGCAGGGTTCTGCATGCCCCCAGCCTGCATCCTCAGAATGCCAGGAAACAGCTCCTGAAGGATGATTTTAAAAATTCTAGTAAGTAGTAAAGTCATACATGAAGTGGGGTTTATTCATATGCAGATGAGATAGTAAACATATATGATTAAGTAAAAGATGTACAGAAACCAATATGAATTTAAAAAATTTAATATAGCATGATTTTCAAATATCTTATTAAAGGGAAATTGTGATCTAATTCTTGGATTTCAAGTCTTTCAAAACATTATAAAGTAAGTTTTTATAAAAAAGGCACAGAGTATAAGCTGAATCAGGTAGATATTTTGGGGCACCTTGTAATTTACACTAAAAATCACTAAATGCTTGTAGGTTTTTATGTAATTTCCTGAGTATTTTTCAGGCCGTTTAAACATAAAAATATTCAAGGGCCGGGGATTTAGCTCAGTGGTTCTGCCGCCTGCCTCAAAAGTGCAAGGACCTGAGTTCGATCCCCGGTACCAAAAAAGACCATGAAAATATTCAAAGACAAAGAAGAAAACATTTCTCTACTGGGGATGGAAGCTGGCACATCTCACATGGCTGGGCCTTCCCTGAAGCTGAAGCTGGGGCTGAATTTCACATGAAAGGGAAAGGCAGGGCTACATACTGATGATGCCACCCGTAATTGCTGGCTTTGGTGAGAAGTGCAGCTTTTTCGTCAGCATGGAGGCGAAGCAGGGCATTTGCTTCTTGCCGATGGCATGAGGGTCTTTGCAGACCCCCACGCGGCGCTGGGAAACCTTCCTGTTCACTAGCGTGAGCAGCTCTGTGAACTCCAGCGTGGACCCGTGTCTCTGCAGCATCGTGCACAAATCCTGGATGTACCACGAGCCGTACACTGTTTCTCGGTGAGAATAATATCCTGAAGACAAGAGGGAGGAAAGGGAACTGTAATTTTATTGCTTTCTTTTTTCTTTTTCTGAGACAGGGTCTCGCTGTGTAGTTCGGGCCAGCCCTGAGCCCGCTATGTAGCCCAGACTGCCCTCGAATTCATGGCAATTCTCCTGCCTCAGCCTCTTGAGGGCTGGGATTCCAGGTGTGTGAGGGAATGATTTTTCAAAAGTAGTCTGCACTTTCACTTCTTTAAGGAAATCAATGGCAGGCTGTGACTTTTTTTTTTTTTTTTAAGACTTTATTTTTTTGTTTTTGGTACCGGGGATCAAACTCGGGTCCTTGCGCTTGCACAGCAGGTGGCAAAACCACGGAGCTAAATCCCCGGCCCCAGGCTGTGACTTTTGCAGACACATGCTGGTTCAATCCACAGAGACCTGCCCAACTCAATGAAAGGTGAAAAACTAGCTGGTAATCCCAGCACTCTGGGAGGCTGAGTCGGGAGAATTGACAGTTTGTACCAACCCACATGGCTCAGCAATTTAGTGAGACCATGTCTCTCAAACCAGGAAGTCGAACGTGACAGGAACTTAGACGGACGGCTGCCTGCACAGACTCGCCTTGGGCCACGGAGTAGCACATGAGGAAGTCAGCGCCTGCCGGAAGCGCATGCACCGTGGCCGCATCCACCTCGGTGACGTTGTCCTGGGCGCCCGGGAACTGGGAATCCACTGCATCCAGAGGGACCACAGGTGGGTCGTGCTGCTGTCCCCGACATGCCTACAGGCCAGGGGGGAAGGCACGGTGCTAGCGCTTCCCTCTCCACGGGGTCACTCACATTGTTTGGGAAGCGCATCACATGCAACTCAAAAACAACACATTCAGCCTTGCAGGGGCGACAGCTGTCATAGCTGTTTTCCCATATTTCCCTTTCCTTAATGCTAAAAAAACGGTATCCACAAAAATGACACCAGTTTCTGGAACGGGAGAACCTAGCGGAGGAAAGAGCTGCCAGGCTTTTAAACTCTCTTGCCCATTGGAGACATTCTTCTTTCAGGACTGGGTCTCACTCTGCATTTCAGGCTGGCCTTGACCTCACTATGTAGTCCAGGCTGGCCTCGAACTTGCTGAGATCCTCCTGCCTCAGCCTCCTGAGAGTGCCCGGCTTAACCTTACCCTTTCTCAGGCTTGTTTTCCGGTCTTACTCTCCATGCTCCTTCCTAAATATAATTCAGACCCCACAGCTTGACGAGGTCTCCTGCCCAACCAGCTGCAGTTCTGCACGCCTGGCACCGGCCTGGGCCGCTCCTTCCTTCCCTGAGCAGAGCTCATCCTCACAACCCTCCCCGGGGCCAGGGGCTACTGCTATTCCTGGCCCATAGCTGAGGAACCTGAGTCCACGCCGAGCACAGAAGCCGGCACCCCTAGTCCCAGCCACTTAGGAGGCTGAGGCAGGAGGACAGCTTGAGCCTGGGGAGTTGGAGACCAGCTGAGAGAGAGAGGAATGTGCCTGGGCAGCCCCTTCCCTGTGGGCCCCTCTCAGAGTGGCTCATGGGAGCTCACTGCTCTCATGTTTGGGAGTGTTGGTTCCCAGCCCCTTTCATGGGACCATCACGCACTACCAATGTGGACTCATAAAACCCTCAAAACAAACCAGCCTTTCGACCCTTCTGATCACACACTGCACTGGGGCCCTGGGGAGCAGCAAGACGTGCTGCCCGGCTGGCTTAATTACTTTTCTCTCACCGCTGAGACAAAATACCCAACACCAAATTTAAAGGAGGAAGGGGTTTATTTGCTCACAGTTTGTAAAGGTTTCAGCCCATAACCACTGGCTCCAAGGCTGGGATGGCAAACAGGCATCACAGAGGAGAAACAGCATGGCACGAACAAGGCAGCAAAGGCAACGAGGGGCCTTAACAGCGTCTTTTGGCCACTGCTACCCCATCCAGCCCACAGGGAGTAGGGTGGTGCAGACCAGCCCCTCACACGGTCGAGTACCCACACGCCCCTAACCCCTGCATCAGCCACCTCTGGAAGAGGTCCCCACCTCAGCACAGGCGGCTTTTTGGGGACATCTAGGCACGAGCCATACCACTGGCCTCACCTGGATAATAAATATCTTGGGTTTGCCGACCAGGCTCTGGCACTTGTCCCCTCTGAACAAGGCAGTCAGGGATTGGATCTCAATCTTGTCATCATAGGCGTAGATGTGGTTGTCTTCACCATGGGTCAGGATAGCACACACAAAGCAGTCGCTGTCCACGTGGCTTGAGGCGGACACTTTTGAGGCCCCCAGAATGGACACGGAAACAAAAATAAGATGCTTGTCATCTGTGCAGACAAATTCAGTTTTCTGGTACCAGAACAAAGACACACTCACATGACTGCGGGGTGGGGGAAGCTGTTATTCTTTAACAAATGTAAAATATCTGATTTTAGTCTTTTGTCCAATAGAACAACTCATATGGAACTATCACATTTTTTTTTTGGTACCGGGGATCAAACTCAGGACCTTGTGCTTTAAGGCAGGCATGGTGCCACTGAGCTAAATCTCCAGCCCCAAACTATCAGTTTTTTAAAAATCTGAAACATTAACGTTCAAATTGCCCGGCAAGATACCACATGGCTGTAATCCTAGCACACGGGAGTCTCACTGCAAGTTCGAGGCCAGCTAGGACTACCTATTAAGACGGTCTCAACCCTAACCCCCAAACAGTTCAAAGCACTAGATTCTGACTTCATTTCACCACAGTTCAAAGTACTAGTTCTGACTTCATTTCACCAGCTTTTCTTTTTTGTCCAGGGCGCCCTGGAGCAAGGTGGGCTGGTGTCCTCCAGCCCTTTTGTTAGCTTTCAGCAGGATGATGTGGAAAACATGCTGGGAGCCTCCTTTAAAATCCCAGCTTCCTGGGCAACAGATTAAGTTTCTGCGAATCCCAAGCCTTCCTAGGGCAGACAGGAAGCCCCCTGCCCGGCTCCCCTCTGAGCAGGCCTGAGCTCTTCCAGCATGCAGAGGAGTCCTGACCTCAGACTCGAGGCCCCACAAGCTCACAAGTGAAGCAGCAGGCTAGTCTGCAGCCAGGGAAAGAGATCCGCAGCGGAATTACTGGAAGTTTCCAATAACAATGCCGAGATCACAGTGGCCCAGCCGAGTCGTGTGAGCCTGGGCCTGCAGCACTGGCTGGGTCTCAGATTATAATTACAAGACCCAGCGCCAAAGTGCTGCAGCCATGAGCACATCTGATGTCAGCAAGCCTTGGTTTTGGTCAGTGCGGAAATGTGGTGGGAAAGGAGCCTCCCAAAGGCCAGCAGGGGCAGGCTTGGTGTTGGCAACTTTCCCCATGACGTGCGGAGCCCACTTCCCCTCTTGCTGGGCTGTCACTGGTGCTGTTTGCACAACACGGCCTCGCGATGCCCAGCCCGGCTCTGCAGATCTGGTCGTAACAGCAGCAGAGGGGCCCAGCCCCACCTCCAACCTGTGCTCCATCCATGCCGCGTTTCCCCGTTTCCCCACCCAGTCATCCGTCCCTGTCCTCACAGAGAGCCTAAAGGACTCCAGCCCAGGGGAGGAAGAGGAAGGGTTTAATGCAGATCCACCTACCCTCGTGAATTCGGTTCAGTAGCTCTGCTGCTTTAAGATTGTTAAAGCATCTCACTTCAAATCCCAGCTCTGAAAACCTGGTGATAGGAAATTGAGTGTTAGCTGCAGAGCTTTTCCAAGCAGTCTATATCCTTACTTTTGAGGGATCTATACCCATTTTTATGACCCATAAATCTACCTTTCTTTAGGAGAAAAGAAAAAAATGACAACAAGTGATCCCCCTTGCTAAGAAAGGATTTAGCCACGACGAAAGGCGATTCCATTTAGAAACTGCCGAGGGCCACACAAGAGCATCAGCTGGAGCATGAAGCTGGTAACATGGAAAGAACAGGGTGTGGAGACAGCTGAGTGCTCAGGGAGGCTCTGCTCTGGGGATGAGCGGTTTGTCCTGTGGCCCTGGGGACTGAGGAGTCGGCCGTGTGTGAGCTGAGGATGTGCATGTCCCAGCAGGGCCCTGGTCTGTGAGGTCACCAGGCTGCCATCGAGACACAAACACAGCTGCTACCTGCAAGCCAGGTTGTCCCTGTCGACGTTCGTGCCCCTCCTTTCCGGCAGCATCAGCTGCCAGAAGAAGTACTCCTGGTTGAAGATGAGGGCCAGCCCCCTCTTCTTGTGGTCCATTCTGTACTCTTCCGCCGGGTCGGCCATGCCCCTGTCCATGGAAAGTGCACAGAGCCATCACTCTGGTGCAGAGGGATTCAGTAATGAGCGCTACAGGCCACAGGCCACAGGGCACACAGAAGTCTGCCACTTCCAGGGGCGCCAGGCTACGATTCCCCCCAGTGCCGCCACCAAAGTCACCACGAGTGGACATCGGTCTGGGTCACCTGGGCAGCCCTTCCCGGCCACTCCCCAAGGACACATTTCCCTGGTCCCCAGGATCCAGCCACCCAGAACAGCCTGGTGGTGGCCAAGCTCTGGCATGAGCCCCAGACCGCATCAATTGGACTTAGTCTGTGTGTGACTAAGGGTGGATCCTGGGACCTTCGCACTGAGCTTTCCACGCAGCCCTTTTTATTTATTTTCTCTTTTGAGACAGGGTCTCACTAAGATGCCCAGACTGGGCTTGAACTTGTGATCCTCCTGGCTCAGCCTCCCCTCATGTGGGGTTTACAGGCCTGCGGCACCGGGGCGACTCCACGACAGGCTGGGTGAGACAGCATCAATTATGAAACAGTGGGTGCACTGGCGCATCGCTGCAGGTGCTGACAGCCGGGGACGGCAACTAACGCTGCTATCTGCAGACCCAGGCCTCCGGGGTCACACCTGGCCCCTCCGCCCCTCCCTTGCTCCCGGGGCCCCTGCTCCCAGTCCCCCTGCTCCCGGTCCCCCTGCTCCCGGTCCCCCTGCTCCCGGTCCCCCTGCTCCCGGTCCTTGCTAGGGACGATCACAGGAGAGAGCAGCCTTCATGAGAAAAGAGCACCCTCGCCTGGTCAGGCAGGGCTCTGTTCCTGCTGTGTCTCCTCCACCTGTTTAAAACCAAAATGCTGACTTTGAGAATTACTTTACTTTCTGACCATGGCCGCAAAACGCAGCAGCAGCTCTCAGCGGGGTCCCAGAGCCCTGGAAACACAGGGAAAGCAATGAAAGTTTTCTCACCCAGCTCTGGCCTGCAGGACCACAAATCAGAAACAGAAGCAGAGGGAAGGCACAGGCACACCCGCTGCAGAGGGGCCTGAGTAGCACAGCTGTGAGACCCATAAAACACACGCTGGCTCTGGGATGGGGAAAGCGTCCTGGGGAAGCCTCTGTGAGATGCAGGAAGTGGGCTGAGAGGAGAAGGAAGCCAGCAGACACTGCAGAGGGAGAGGGAGAGGGAGGTCCGGGCTGGGAACGGGGAGGGGGCTGCTTAAGTCTTCTACTGTGTGAACTTACAAAATATCTCAAGCTATAAATGGCTGTGTTGGATGAAGAAAATAAATTGAACAAAAGATTTATAAATTCTGCTTCACTGGTTCACCTGTGTCTTAGTCACTTTTCTCTCGTTGCTGAGACAAAATACAAGTTAAAGGAGGGAAGGTTTATTCAGCTCCGAGTCTGTAGCAGTTTCAGTCCATAGCTGACTGGCTCCATGGCAGAGGGCATCACAGAGGAGAACCAGTCCACAGCAGGCAGAAGGCAGCCAAGCCACAAGGCAGGACTACGCCCTTCCGTCTTTGTATCTCACGCAGGCTGCTTAGGGCGGGCAGTACTCACACCTTAATCTTAGTGCCCTTGAGCCGAGCACCGCACCAGGAATCCATCCCAGCACCACACACCCTGGGTCCAGCCACCTCGGAAGAAGCCCCACCTATCCCTGCATGAGGCTTTGGGGGGACATCCAGACCCAAACTATAACAAATATGTGGCCATCATTAAACCTGATTCTTTTTTCCTCCTTGGTACTAGGAGCAAAACTGGGCTTTGAACCCTAGGCCTTCACACTGTGCTGCATCCCCTATTTTATTTTTAATTTTGACACAGTGTCTTGCTAAGTATCCCGGAGTGGAGGGCTCTCAAACTTGAGCTCCTCCTGTTTCACCCTGCTAGGGGGCTGGGATTACAGGCTTGTACCACCACGCCCAGCTTCAACCTAACTCCTGAACGCCTCTCTCTTCTGTTTCACTGTAAAGCAGCGGCCATTTCCTTGCCCCTTAAAGCAGTATAATTCTTACAGAATCAATCATTCCTTTTCTCTCCCACCCTAATTTCCCCCTCGCTCAGGATAACCCTGCCAGCCCCCACTTGCTGATGGCCTGGCCCTCGGATAGCTCAGCTCAGTGGCAGGACTTGGGGACAGGGGCAAAGCGGGCCAGGCCTCCCAGGTCAGGGCCTTGGAGTCGGGCCTGAAAGCCAGGTGCCTATGGATCTGAGTCCCTGCCCGTGGGGTCACCAGGCCTCCGGAGAGTCCTGTCGGCTTCCCTAGTGGCTGACGTCCTCCTGTCCCCTGTGAACACCTCCCCGGACCGACCTGCCATCACCATAGTAACCCCATCCTGGGTAACCCACTCCAGACCCTGAGCACTTGGAAAAGGAGCAGGGTGGAGAAGGCAGAAGGAGCAGGCAAGGAAAGGGCTTGGCCAGCAGGGATGGGGCAAGGTCCAGGGACTTGTGGCTGGGCAGCCCACAGCCCTGAATGTCAACATTTCAACCAATAAAAAAACTGCAGCCATATTTACATTTTCAGTTTCTCACACCAGAGAAACTTCAGTATTTACACATGTGTGTCCTATTTATTTCACTTAACAGTATGGCCTCAATGTGCATCCATTTAGCTATAAATGTCTATAGGTTCTCATGGTACTCCAATTTACAAAAAACCCCACATCTTCTTTATCCAGTTTCCAGTTGATGGGCACTTGGGCTGTTTCCAAGCTTTAGCTACTACAAACTGTGCCGCTATGAACATGGGTGCACATATTATCACTGTGGTAAGATTCTTTTAATTCTTTGGGGAAGATCCCCAGCAGGGATAATATGAAATAGGAAGAAAAGGTCCAAAGGGGAAGGGGAAGTGGGAGGGGAGGGGGAAAGGAAAGAAAGGAAAGGAATAAATACGAGATAAGGGAAAACTGGAAACAAAGTCTTTGTAAATAGGGAGGGGTGGAGGGGGTGAAGGGAGGGCAGGGGAAGGGGGAAAAATAAGAACCAAGATTCATCATGTACAGGTACAAGTTGCCAACGATGAATGTAACTGTACTGCACACCTAAAATGCACCAGTCAACTAAATGGGCAAAGCCCTGCAGCCAGGCCTTGGGCCTCCCCGATGAGCTGCCCCAGCCCCACTCCCTTGGGAAGCCGGTCTCACGGTCTCACTGAGCGGCGAAGCGCCCAGACGGGGCTCTGACTTTCGCTCCTCCAGCCTCAGCTTCCCATAGGGCTGGGATTTAGGGGCCCGCCACCAACACCGGCTAAGTTTCCAAGCAATGCCATCAGCAGGGGCGAAGGGCGTCCTGCAGTCCCCGGCAGCGGCCCACTCCGCAGCCTTAGCCGACTCCGGGGTGCGGCGCCTGATAGGGGTCTGCAACGGGGCCGCCCAGGCCCGGCCTCCCCGGGCACCGAGCCCCGCGCAGAGCCTCGGCCCCCGACACCCCGGCCCCGCCTACCTGTGCGCCCGGACCTCGGTGCCCAGCTCCGCACCGCACTCCCGCCGGCTTCCGGGACCGAGGTGTGGGCCCCGCCCACTCCCCCCCA